CCAGGCGGATTTTGGATGAAAAACAACAAATACCCAAACATACGCCCAAATAGTCAAACGATAATCAATCGTCGAAAAACCGTCCCCAGACTGTTCTTGGTACCCTTGACGCGCGCCGGGGGCAGCGCCGGTGGCGCCGCCCAGGACGCCACAACTGCGCGCGGGCGGGGCCCCGGCGCCGGCCGGAGGCCCGCGGGCTCCCGAGAGGCCACACGGAGGGGCATGCCCTGAGGGCTCCCAGCGTCGCGCTCCGCGCCGCGCGGAGCGCGGCGTGCGGAGAGCTGCGCGCCCTCGCGCCGCCCCCGCAGGGGAGAAGGATTGCAAAAAAACATCGTTTTTTTTTGCAATCCTGGGTTTGTTTTTGCAATATTTTGCAATCCTGGTTTTTTTTGTTGCAATCCTTCGTTCGAGGAGGGGGAATCGGCGCCGAAGCGCCAAGCGCGAACGTCTCGGGAGCCTGCCCGTCGGGTCGAACTCCACCTCCACGAACTTCCCGAACCTGTGGGGGGGGGGCCCACGGGCGGCGCAGCTGCAGCAGAGGCCCATGCCAAGAGACACTCTGCCTGCCTCCAGGGTGCCCTGGGTTTCTTGGGTGTCGATGGCTTTGTTGTGGGAGTTCCATGCCAAAAATCGATGAACGCCCTTGGGTCTCAGGGCTGGGTTTCTTGTGGACTGGCCTCCACTGTATGCGTCCGCATCCACGCCCGGGCGGTCTGGACTCTGGTGTTTGGTTGGGCATGTCCCCCTACAGGGGGAGTTTGGATGACACATGGAAAAAACATCAAAAACTGAATTCCAAAATAGTCAAGAAATATTCGGGGAATCGTCCCCTGACTATTTCTGGACTATGTTGGAATATTCCCCTGCAGAGGGACAGGCCCGACTTAAATCAACGTAGTGGCGGTCTGGATTCTGGGGCGCGGTCCCAAAGATGCGCGGTCGGACGGACACTTTCCGCGCGGGGCGTCCGCGAAAAAATCCGCCGCATCCGCGGGCTGGCGGCCCAAGGGGCCAACCCGCGAGGCTGCGGATACGGAACAGTTTTTCGTCCACGATGGGTGGTGGTCAATGCTTGACAGCGCTCGGACGTCCATTCCTTGTGCATTGTTTGGTTTCATGTGTGCTTCTGTTCCCCTAGGATGATCCAAAATTCTGGCAGATGGTCCAGAATTTCCGGCGCTGATCTCGCCGCGAAAAAACGCACACGTCCGAGCGATGCCAAGACTGTATAGAAGGAACAAGCCCCGACCAGGGCAACACGAATCAAGACCACGACGACGCCGACGACGCCGACGACGACGACGACGGAAACGAAGCGCGCTAACGATCCGCATCGAAACACAGATTTGGAAAAGGGACCACCCGGGGGGACAAAAAGATGCGGATGCCGCGGATCCACGAACCTCCATCCAGGGGGCGTTCCAGCCGTGACGACGAGGCGAGGGCACCCCAGCATGCCCAGAAAAGCGACGACGGTAGAGTTAGGTCGGGCCGGTCCCCCTACAGGCCGTTTTTCAAGGAATAATTGCAAATAGTCGAACCATTCTCAAAACTATTAGACAAATGCAACAGAAAAAGTCCCCAGACAATTGTTTGGCTATTTTGTTTCATGTTCCCCCTGTAGAGGGACACACCCGACTTAACGGCAGAGGAATGGGCACTGTGACCTCTCGACGTCGGCTCCAGAGCCCTCCCTCGAAGTCGGCCCGCTCTAGCTCGGCATCGGGAGGTCATGGCCCAAACCCCGTGAAGCAAGAAACCGTCCCCAAACCACTCTCCCAGGGTCCTGGGGTCCCCGGACCACTGTCCCAGGACCACTCCCCAGTGGAGGGGGGGAGGAGGACGACGACGAGGAGGAGAACGAGGAGGAGGAGGATGAGGAGCAGAAGGCATCCTGACATGATGCGCCTGTTTTCCACCACCACCACCATAAGTTGCAGCGGGCGGGGGTCCTCCTCCTCCTCCTCCTCCTCCACTACTTCCTCCTACTCCTCCTGAAACCCTCAATGACACGACGGGCCCGGGCCGCGCGCACGTCTTGCGCTCTTGTAGGGAACCGAACTCTATACACCAACGCTTTTTCCGGCCCTGCGCTGAAACTCTCACAAGAAAGCGGATCCTGGTGTATGTGGGGTCCTGGTGTATACATTTGTCGTTGTTTCCACGGGAAAAAAAAACGGGGAAACAGGTATACACCACACCATCCCGACGTCGCCCCCGACCCTCAAAAAGTCGTGGGATTCAAAAAGAGCCCGCCACTGGCAATGTATATGTTTCAATTTCCGATCTTTTTGTCCCCCAGGAGCCGTGAGGAGTTGTCGTTGCGGACCGTCTTGGCGTTCCCGAACGCCTCCAGCACGGGGTTCGCGTCGAGCACCTGCTGCTCCACCGTTCGCTGCCCGCTGCTGCCCCCGGGGCTGGCGAACGCGCTCTTCTGCATCTCCTGGGCGGCGTGCCAAACAGGGGATGGGAAGCATCTCCTGGGAGCTTTCCCTAAGAACGACTACGGCGATTGAGGGTCCAGTAGGCCTGATCAGCCCAGATTAAGCCAACGATTAGACCTTAGAAAACCATGCAAAGGATCCAGGAGGCGCAGGAGACGGCCCAAGCGCACCCCATGACGTCCAAGAAGGCCTGAAGGCAGCCCAAGAGGCCTCCAAGATGCTTCAAGAGGACACAAAAAGGACTCCCCAAATGGCCCGATGAGGCCACATGTGCTATAAAACCGATGGGTCTTGTTTGGTACGATGTCCGTAATGTAGCATGTTCGGTTATACGAGCGTCCATGACGTTCCAAAAAGCCCCAGAACTGACCCTAGACAGCTCAAGAGGCCCCCGAGTGGGTTTCAAGACGGCCCACGAGGATGCCTAAATGGCAAAAATGCCCTCACATAAAGACCCAAAGGTACCACAAGACAGAGTCAGGAGGGTCCAACGCGGAGAACTCGAACTGATCCTTCGAGCCCTTGAACCCAAGTTGACCCCAAAAGCCCCGATAGGACTCCGAAAGGACCGTCCGAAGACCCCACGAGGCCCCCAGGAGGCTCCAAATGGCCTCCGACAAGTCCCCAAAAGGCCACCAAGAGGACCCAAGATGAGCCGCCATGCGCGCTGCCAGGCCAGATGTGCATGGACTGCCTTGGTATTGCTCGGAAACGATAGCACCAAACAACAAATTAGCGAAGACCTCCGAACACATCGAACCTCAAAACCTCTTCGCTCCTCGCTGCGCGGCGACGCCCTCAAATACCAGGACGCCTGAGATCGACACCCCTTCCCAAAAACCTGCCGCTCTTCACCCAACGCCGTCGTTTAACGGCCTGGTGGCGAAAAAGCGGCCACCGAATTCTGCAACTTGCGAACATCTTATGTGTTGCGTTTTATGCAAGACGTCGAGGTCTGGGCCCGAAGGGTCAAAAGCCAACCACTGAACCTATCCATGTGCGCACGCTGGCCAGAATCTCGGAGCGGAATGCAGCCGCCGCGACGAAAAGCCTCCTGGAAGACGAAAGACGCACCCCAATGCCATCACTGATCGCTGTTGCATCTTGTAATGCTTCTGACACCAGGTGGTGGTGCCGGGTGCACCGAAAAGGGGGACAGGAAGAACGCGTCTACTATGCCCAATGCAAAAAAGCAGCCAATCACAAAGAAACCCTGACCCCCCAAAAAGGTATCCCGGACACCCCCGTGCGGATCAATGACGCCGCGACGGCTTACCCCAGGCAGCCCCCTGGACAACCCTGGACAACCCCGCAGGGCACCCCCCACTGGACAGGCCTCCCCAGGACTCTTCTTCGCCTAGCGCTGTCATGGCCCGAGCCGAGGTGTCTGCGCGGAGGGGCGGGGCCAGCAGCGGCGCGAGAGTTGCAGGGCGCACGACGGGAGGGCCCCCCCCCCGCGCGCCCAGTGTTGGCGCTCAGCGGCGCCGCGAGGAAGTGGAGTGAGGAGGGGGAGGAGGAGGAGGAACAGGAAGAGGAAGAGGAAGAGGAGGAGGAGGAGGAAGAGGATGAGGAGCAGGAGGGGGAGGAGGGAATGGGAGGAGGAGGAGGTGGACGAGGAGGAGGTGGACGAGTAGGAGGAGGAGGAGGAGGAGGAGGAGGAGGAGGAGGAGGAGACGTAGGGAGAAGGCGAGGGAGGAGGATTCGCTACGATACGAAAGCACTTGGGGTCAATTCAACCATGACTCCTTCGAAGCTGCGCAACGCTCGCCCTGCATAACTTACATGAGGTGGCTGCAATAATCCGTTAAAATATACGCGTCCAGTAAGCAGAACAGTCAGACCCAGTGCGGCAAAAAAAACAACCTCTCAGATCCCGCGAGACGCGGCCCTGCGGCGACAACATAATCGCTAGGTCGCGAGGAACTCCTTCGGCGGGAACTGCCCCGCGGCGACCCCGCTGACACTAAAAGCACCTCAGGGCTTATTCCCCCCCGCCGCCCATCGCGACAACGACGACTCCCCCCTCCACCATTTCTACAACAGCTGCCACATAAAGTCAATAACATCTACCTGTGGCACATACCCTCGCAAAATCAACTCACGATACTGACCACCCATGGAAAGGGGACTCGGGCACACTCACTACCTCAACACAGGCTGGGAGGCTCGAGACCTGGCGCTCGAGCGGACCCATCGGCGCAGACCTCACGAGCTGCGTCCCCAGCGAGATCCGCCCCAAGATCACTAGAGCTTCGGGGTTCGAGCAGAGCGCGACCTGCAACTTTACCATGCCCTCCATTTCTTTCGAGCTGAGCCGCCACGGCGCACGGAACGTGAAGCGAAGCACGAGCGATGCCATGGACCGAGAACTCCTGTCCACGGCGGCACGAGGAAACCCTTGCACATCTCCTAAATGGCAAGCGGCCCGATCATCAAGATGGCACGGATCGCCACGAGAAAGACGGTGACGAACGGCGGGCCTGGCCGCCTAGCGCTCGAAGAGCGCATTCCCGCTGTCTGCGTAGAACTTGTTGGCTGTACCTCGCTCGTGTGGGCGCACTTCGCTCGATGTCTGACTACAATTATCGCCCACAGTCGTTGTTCAAACTCCGTCTGGGAAGTGCGATGCTCGTACGAGCTCATCAGCGCCGTCAACAGCTTGGCCATGCCCCACTTCACCTCAAGATACTTGTCCCCAACGGGAGCCCACCGCTCCTGAGAAACCTTTCTTTCGTAAACAGAAGACAGGGCCCCTCGAACATGTGCAGGTAGGAAGCCACACCGTTCAGCAGCAGGGACCGACTACCGAAACGTAAGGAGAATGTCCTCGCACTTCACGTTCTAAGCCAGCGCCAGTGCTGGTGTTGCCATACCCGCCGTGAAACGTCTGGGCAAAGCGATCCTGCGAGGCAATCGAATACGTTACGTGCTTCTCCAAGAACTCACTCCTTCGATGTCGCTCACCGTTGATGTCGCTCCTGCGCCGTGCCCAAGCCAAAAGACGACGCGCCCATGCGCTGCCACTTTCCTCGTTTGTATACACACAAATAAACGTATAAGTGGCGTAACTCTCGTCTTTCAAAAGGAATGCTAGCGCCGAATGGGATGCCTGGCCAAATATCCGCGACGTCCTGCAACTCAGCGTTTCACAACGAGCAGATACCTCAATGCTGACTTGCGAACCCGAGACTTCGGTTGATACTATATCGCCATCGCATACGTAATTTGGAATGCAAAAGAACCTGAAATATGCTCTCATCCCGCTGTCTTGAATTGTAACTCGTGTCGTGCCAACTCTTCGGATACATCACGGCCATCCGTGCGCCAGCAAAACGATGCCTGCGCTCTTGTTTCTGGAATTGGTTGTCGTCCCTCCCGCAATCGCTGCAAGTCTGTCCAATCTTCGGTTGATGCAACGCTCCTCAATAGTTAGCGCCTTGGCCCCCGTGCCCTGCAAGCCGACATTGGGGGCTTCGACTGCAGTACCCTCCAGCCGCGAGCTGGCCACATACAGGCAACAAAACAAGAGAACAACAGTAATGGATGCCATCATCTGCTGCTGGCCAGCAGCCACGCGAAGCAAGAGACTGCCGTTTCGAACATGCAGGTACGTGGCCTCGAACCGGCGCGGGGCCTTCAACCAGGACGGCGGCGCTGGAAGGAGGAGGACGAGGGGGAGGGGGAGGGGGAGGAGGAGGAGGAGGAGGAGGAGGAGGAGGAGGAGGAGGAGGAGGAGGAGGAAGAGGAGGATGAGGAGGAGGAGGAGGAGAAAGAGGACGAGGGGAAGGAGGAGGAGGAGAAGAGGAGGAGGAGGAGGGCGCAATAATATACACACCCACACCGGTCCTGACCAGGCCAATCCTGGGCACAGTATCGGCGTACGCGCTCCTAACATGGCCAGGAAGGCATCCACGCCGACCTTGGGTCGAGGACAGGCATGGCATGGCCACGATGGGGCGCATGCGCACAGCAGGCGCCCTCCGAAGGGAGACAATGGGGGAGGGAGCAGGAATGAGGATGAGGAGGAGGGGGAAGAAGGATAATGAGGAAGGAGAGATGAGGACGAGGATGAGGATGAGGATGGGAAGGAGGAGGAGGGAGTGGAGGAAGAACGGAGGCGAGCGGAGTAGGGAGGCCGAGGGGGGCCCGCCCGGACTTCTGAGCGCCGCCGCTCTCCGCCAGGTACGCCAACACGCGCTTGGTCGCCTCCGTCTTCCCCGCCCCGCTCTCGCCTCGGAGAGGCCGGGAGAGGGTGGGGAGGGGCAAACATAACATGTGTAAAATGATTAAGAGATAGGTTGCGCTACAACTTACATTATGATGACAATACGAATGACATTGAGCATAGTATTAATAACGCTGCGAGTAACAATATGCTTACTACGAATAACAATGGAAGTCATAGTGATGATCAAACTGGTACCACTATTACTATGATAGCGGAGCAAGAGCCCACACAAACTATGGTTAGGGCTATAACCCTATGAGGCTATAGGGGTGTAGGACCATAGGGCTATAGGCCTATAGGGTATAGGGCTATAGGGCAATAGGCATACAGACAGATAGGGCTATAGAGCTATACGGCTACAGGGCTATGAGGCTATAAGACTAAGGGCTATAGGGCTATAGAACTATAGGGCGACTGGGCTATGGGGCTATAGGGCTATAAGACCATGGGGCTATCGGACTATAGGGCCATCAAACTATAGGGCTATGGGGCTGTAGGGCTATTAAGGCTATACGCCTATGGGGCTTTACGGCTATAGGGTCTGTAGGCCTATAGGGCTATACGGCTACAGGGCTGAGAGGCTATAAGACTACAGGGCTATAAGGCTATAGGGCGACTGGGCTATAGGGCATAGGGCTGTACGGCCATAGGGGCAATAGAGCTATAGGGCTATTGGGCTATAGGGCTATAGGGCTGTAGGGATATATGGCTATAGGGCTACAGGGCTGTAGGTGACTACCTGCCAGACCACCCCAACCCAACCCGAAGACCCGAATTTCGGGTTGGGGGGGTACGGGTTCCATATTTGTTTTTTCGATGTTCCCCGAC